ATTAAATATATGGCTTACAAGATATATGAATATAGATACATCGAATAACTCCATTTGGGGCTTCACGGTGATGAGCAAAAATGCAATGTGCAACAGAGGACAGTTTTCCCTCAGCTTCTACACTAAATTCTGGAAAAGCAAAGCTCAGATGATACGTCTTAGAATTTCAGGTTTGGGCACAAGTTTTGGGTAAAGCAGGAGTGATGTTAGTATATACTTACTTTCTGAAGAAAGCGGCCAAAAACCTAATCATCCAACAGAGAACACTAACCATGTTGAATTCACAGGTTGGTTAGATTACTGTAAAGGTCTGAAGATTTAATTCCAATCATCCCTCTCATTCTCAGACATGCAGTTTTATCATTAAGCCAAGACCATTAAAACCTGCTTTAAAAGCTTGTTTTGTCTAAAGGACTAAGGCAGTAGGAACAGATGGGGATAGATTGCAAAAGTAGGCCCCTGTTAGGCAGAGGGTAAAGATACTGTCCCAAATCTGCTTTCTGCCCATAATGGCTTTTCCACCTCTCGTGGCAGGTAAGAAGTGAAGGATTGTTGAGAGACTGTAGCTCTGTCACACCTCTTTTCCATTTTCCTTTATTGGATTACAGATTTTTGTGACCTTGCCATAGCCTGTAATTGTTAGACTGTGAGCTTCTTGAGGACAGGGCACAGAGAATTCGTCATCTTTATATTACCTGTAAGGTACAGTAAGAACAACAGTAAAATCAGTTACCCAGTGCTGCTCAACTCTTTCCTGTTATGGTACACTTAGACAGTTATAATATTTGTACCACAGGGGATTCTGGCTACCCAGATCTTATAGTCCACACAACTCTTTTGTACAAATTATAACGTACTCCTGTCTCGAGTTACTTTACTGCCATCTGTTGGAAAGTTATTGTAATCAAAATGCAGGGCTATAGTGACTGTTATGAGTGATGCCCTCCTCCAAAGTTATTCAGTGTGCAGCCTGCTCAGCTGTACGTGGCAGTCCTGAGACTACCCTAGGAGCCCACCTGGCCACCTGGTGGGCTGAGGGAATCAATATTTGAACAAACCTCAACCCATGAGTGGCACATCAATGTGTCTTGGGAAATTCGATACTATGCTAAGGACTGGAACCTCAACAGTAACCCTATGAAGTAGGAGTTCTTATAATCCCAGTGTTTCGGATGAGCAAACTGAGGCATAGAGAGGTTACATAAATGGCCCATGGTCATGCATCTATCAGATAGCAGAGATGGAATTTGAACGGAGGCAATGAGGCTACAGAGCCTAGGATCTTAACAATGACATGGTAAACCTGTTAAACTGCATCAGATGCAGCAGTTTCTCAGCTCTGCTGCTTTTTCTATCTCAGCCCACTGTAACTGTAGCCTAGACCTCAGCCCCTGAGTTCTTTGAATGAGTCTATAGCTATAGTCTCTTTTAGGTTTTGGCAAAGGAAGAGGTATTTGTGCTTTTTTCTGCCAGTCCTTGTTTGCGTTAAGGTTAAGTGCTATCCCTTTTTTATGTTTCAGAATAAGCTGTGGTCCTCTTCCCATCCTGTGGCTTTACTTCTTCCCACAGTCCCTGTTCTTGCATCATAGAGTGATCAACCCAGACTGCTACCAACCACCTGGGTTGATTCATTCTCTTCTAAATTCTCACTCTTCTAGATTCTAAAGCCACGAAGACTGTCTCTAGGACTTTCCCTCCTCCTTTCTGTGTCTGTTCATTCCTTTAATCCCCACCGCCCCCTGCCACACCTTGTTTTGAACCCTTAATTGCTGTACTCCCTTGCAGCATCTCTCACTTTCTCTCCAAATTATCTCACTATCTGATTTAGAAGGAAAGTGCCTCAGGGCAGGGATTGTCTTGTTGTGTTGTGAAGCAGTATCTGAAGTGCTCCATAAATCAGCGTCTGTAGAGAGTTTTGTATATACTAATTATTATTCTTGAAATACAAATATGCTTTCTGAACCATGAGGAATTAGACTAAGATATTAGCCTAATTGCCTGTACATGTTTTTTAAAAAGGAGGAAAAAAGCCTCTCTTCCTGCTTGAGAGAGCTATCAGAGCCTTGGAGCAGCAGCCAAAATCCATGGACTTGTTCTGGGTTATTGTCTCAGTGCTTTTATATTTATTCAGAGAACCATGTTTGCAAGACAGTAAAATAAAAAGCCCTGTTGGTCATGTGGATCCATTTGGACCATTTATGGTGATCAGAAAGGTAGAAATGGCCCTGGAGCACCTGCCTTTGGCTTGTTTTGGCCTAGAATCTCTTATTTCCTTAGTGACATATATGGTTAAAGTCAATGGAATTCATGTTTGGGGACTCGGGGTTTAAAGTAATTTTCATTTATATTATGTTTATGTTCACTGCCAGATTGGGTCTGCATTTTTATTAGCATTTTATAATGCACAGGGAGCTTTTAAGACTTGAATTTTACTGTAGACATGTAAGACAGAAAGACCCATTTACAGGTCTATTAGTCTTTTCCAGTGCTTGCTTTGAGAATATACCTAGAAGAGCAGTGTCTAGCTAAAGAGCTTGCTTTAAAAATCTTAATGTTAGAATTTGTTTGCCTGGTTTTCCTGAATATGAATGTTAGTATATTTTGATTAACAATTTAACAAATGTCCTTTTATGAATGAAATGCTAGTCAGAATACACTGAGGTCACCTTAAAATTACCTATTGAAGTCTGGGCGTGGTGGCTCATGCCTGTAATCCCAGCACTTTGGGAGGCCAAGGTGGGCGGATCACGAGATTAGGAGTTTGAGACTAGCCTGGCCAACATAGTGAAACCCCACCACTACTAAAAATACAAAAATTAGCTGGGGGTGGTGGCACATGCCTGTAGTCCCAGCTACTTGGGAGGCCGAGGTGGGAGAATCGCTTGAATCTGGGAGGTGGAGGTTGTAGTGAGCCGAGATCACACTATTGCACACCAGCCTGGGTGACAGAGTGAGACTCTGTCTCAAAATATGTGTGTGTGTGTGTGTGTGTGTGTGTGTGTGTGTGTGTGTGTGTTGAATTACTTGTAAATCTTAAATAGAAAGTAGTGGAAGAAGTTTGCCACTTATGTGAGTGTCCACATCTGACAGATGGTGTGATGTCAGGGCCTTATTGCATTGTCCGACTATGTAGGGTCACAATTGACACACTGGATACATTCAAGGTAGAATCACAGAACATGCAATTGCTTTTTATCCTCATCCATAGCTTCTGCGGTATTCCTCCCCACCCTAAGACACAGTCTTATTATGCCAAATTGTTCTTGACTTCAGGCTTTTGATAACTATGGAACAAGTTGAATGAGAAAACAAGCTTGTCTCACTTTTAGACGATTAACTCACTTTGGGGACTAGATTGTTTCCTTTTCCAGGTTACACGGTGCTGCTCTGGGAGCAGCTGGATACTTTATGCGTGTAAAGACCAGGCGTAGGGAGTACTGCAGTGGGCTGGACGGTTTTAAGATTCAGGCTGCCAAAGAGCTGAGGGATCACCTATTGTTAGTGGTTTTCCAGCTTTGCCTGTACATTAGAGTATCCTGGGGAGTCTTCTTCACAAGCACCAGTGTTGGGGCTGTACCTGTTTACAGGTGGAAAAAATGAGACGCTGAGAGGCGAACTGACTTGTATGTGGCCATATACACTTAAGTGCTGTGAAAAATCATAACATTAGGAGGCAGTAACATTATTTCCAGATTCTGGTTGAAATGCTCGTTTATTTTGGATTGAGCAGTTGTTAAATTAGATCATAAGCAGGGCAGAAAACAAGGTGGGACCACCTCGACACTGTCATTGGTTTTTGAATTATCTGCCCTGTAATAAAAGTAAAACAGAACCACCTTGAATACCTTCCACATATTATTCATATTGAGGAGAGGCTTTACTGTCAGTTGTGACAAAACCTTAGTGTCAGTCTGGTTACATGGTGGTTATATCTCCTACCCAGGCCAGGACTTGTTTGTTCAGTTTTTGTGTGGGAAAGGGTTTTCAGTTGAAGCTTTAATTATACCTGCTAAACAGAATGAAGCAGGTAAGCTCTTCTACTTAAGCATTTATTAAATTAGTTTTTCATAATGGAAGTGAGTTTTTTTTTTTTTTCCAAACATGGGTACTGTAAAAATTTTAGTTAAGGAGACAGAACAATGTCAGTCGTCACTCCCTTTGTAGTTATTGAGGGTAGGGGGCAGGAAGAGGTACACATATCATCATCAACATTTACCAAAAAAACCATAGTATGGAGGCCTTTTATTGTTAGGCTCTGGAAACAAAGGTTCAGCCCATGCCTTTGAGAAGTTTATTTTTGATTCAGAGAGAGAGAGAGAGAGAGAGAGAGAGGGAGAGAGAGAGAGAGAGAGAGTGTGTGTGTGTGTGTGTGTGTGTGTGAGAGAGTGTGTGTGTGTGTGAGAGAGAGAGAGAGAGAGAAATCTCTTGACACAGATTTGTATTTCTGGTTTTTCTAAATACAAAGTTTGATAAGTGTATCCTAATTACCATTTTAACAAATATTCTTTTGTGATAAGGCAAACAACTAAGTCAAACAACTAAGTCAGAATTTATTCTAATATATTTGAGGATATGTGTCGATATGTTAATATACAGTGTATGTTGTTAATTGTTAATGGATATGTACAGCATGTATGAGTTGTGCAGTGATTTTCAAGTGAGTGCCACAGATGAAAAGTGCCACCTCACAGGTAATTGTGAGATTGTGACACTTGATGTAAAATGCTTAACACTGTGTCTGGCACATAGTGAATGTTCAGTAATCCTCATTACCCACGTATTTATTATTATACCACCACTGCCATAGGAATTCATAGGAAAAAGAGAACTGTGGGTTAAGGAGATCACAGAAAAAGGAAAGCATAATTTAAGCAATACATGTTGCCTCTATTTTACTTAACATTATCTTTTGCCTAAGACTTAAATTGCTAATAGCAAACACTTTGGAAAATATTACATGATATAAATACATATTAATACTGTGGCTTCTTTTGTTTTAGGAACTTTACATTGCTGTTGGAATATCTGGAGCCATCCAGCATTTAGCTGGGATGAAAGACAGCAAGGTAATTGTACATCAGTGATGCTAAAAGAAAAAGTTTCCTCATCTTAAGATTTGTCTTACCCTGTATGTTTCCATGTAGTTACAGTGGATGTAGTCACACCATTCACACTAATGTAGAGCTGGGAACCAGAAGAAATAGAAGCTACTGTTCACTGCCTTAAGATATACTATTGGTGACAGAGGCAGTGCTGTGTCATGGAGAGAGGCCTGAACCTGAGTTGTAGCTCCACTGCAAACTCAGTTTCTTTGTCTACCAAATGTGGGTATTGAATGATGATCACTAAGGTGCCCTTCAGCTTGACATCTGCGGATAGAAAATATGAGGCTTAAACAAGTTGATGAGGTTCTGAACATCTAACTTATTTTTGAGGTTTTGATCCCGGATTGTCTCTCTGTCTGCTTCACTCTGGTCCTCTAACTGTTGCAGTCTCATATGTCAGCAGGGCCCCTCTTTTTGGGTTGTTATCAAAGTGTAACCAACACATTTTGGGTTGGAGCATCAGGCCATCTTAATATATCAGGAATTGTCAAAAGTACAGTAAGTAAAGGGAGGAAACACTTGATTTTAACTTGCTACTTGGACTACTGTGGAAGTCCTGTGTAATGACTCTGAACATATATTTCAGAATATGACACATTAATTCATGCATAATAATGTATAGTTTGAATTATGAACTTATCTTTCATGAAGTCAGAGATGCCTCTGACACTCCTGCATTTATCCATTCATATGGAAGCTTGATATAAAAGATAATAAAACTTTTAACAGGCTTAACTTGTAGCTTCTAAAGGAACTGACCCAAAACCAGTCGGATTTTACAGTTGGATGGTAGGTTTCTTTACTGAGCTATGAAAACAGCGTGCCAATGGGAAAATGTGATTGCTGCATTAAGGAAAAAAAAAAGAAAGAAACCCCAACACCAGCAGCCTTCAGACCAGTTCAGACATAGCTAGAATTCTGCTTCTCTAAAATAAAGGATTCTGCCTGTCAAGAAGATAGCAGTGAAAATTCTCACCCATGCCGGCAGGGCTGGATTGTGGGAGAGACTCAAGCTAGTGTGTGTCAGAGCAAATAGGGAACAGTTGAAGTAAGGAGACTGATGTTGGCGGTCAGCCAAGACTTTTTGTCTCCATCTAGTCAACAAATATTTATTAAGACTGTTCCTTGTACTAGAAGCTGGAAATGCTTAAATAGAAAAAGTAGCCCTTGTTGTCCCTGTCTAGTCGTTCTCTGTGTCGCCTTGTGTTGCCATAGCCCCATTGCCTGCGTAGGAGACAATCTTTAGTTGTATTGGTTAAGTTCTAAGATGGGGTATTAGAATGGCTTAAATTTGGCAGTTGCATTGCCTACAAGCTGAAATTTTAATTAGAATCCTGGTTTAGTTGAAAGAATTCAAGATTTGATTGTTAAATCAAATGAATCAATGTAATGAAAGTACTTTCTGAACTTTTTTTTTTTTTTTTTTTTTTTTTGAGACCGAGTCTTGCTGTTGCCCAGGCTGGAATGCAGTGGCGCAATCTCGGCTCACTACAACGTCTGCCATCCTGGATTCAACCAATTCTCCTGCTTCAGCCTCCCGAGTAGCTGGGACTACAGGCACGCATCACCACACCTGACTAATTTTTTGTATTTTAGTAGATACGAGGTTTCGCCATGTTGGCCAGGCTGGTCTTGAACTCCTGACCTTGTGATCCACTCTCCTCGGCCTCCCAAAGTGCTCAGATTACAGGCGTGAGCCACCGAGCCCAGCCTTTCTGAACTAATATGGTTGTGGCTGCGCTCGGTGGCTCATGCCTGTAATCCCAGCACTTTGGGAGGCTGAGGTGGGCGAGTCACCTGAGGTCAGGAGTTTGAGCCCAGCCTTGCCAACATTACGAAACTCCATCTCTACTAAAAATACAAACAATAGCTGGGTGCGGTGGTGGGCACCTGTAATCGCAGCTACTTGGGAGGCTGAGGCAGGAGAATCTCTTGGACCCAGGAGGCAGAGGTTTCAGTGAGCCGAGATCGCCCCGCTGCAGTCTAGCCTGGGTGACAGAGTGAGGCTCCATCTCAAAAAAAAAAAAAAAATGGTTGAATACAATCTGCATTTCAGAGCTTCGTAAGGAGGAAGAACGTGAGCTTGTGAGGAGCTATTGAGAGAGCTCTTGGATACAAGCAAGACTTTATCATAGTTCATTATAATTGATTATTTAGAAATAGTATTTTAATAATCCGAAGGACAATAACCAGCCCATTTCTTCTTTTCTTTTCTTTTTTTTTTTTTTTGAAATGGATTCTCACCTTGTAGCCCAGGCTGGAGTGCAGTGGCGCGATCTCAGCTCACTGCAACCTCTGCCTCCCATGTCCCAATTCAAGCAGTTCTCCTACCTCAGCCTACCAAGTAGCTGAGACTACAGGCACGAGCCACCATGCCCAGCTAATTGTTGTATTTTTTAGTAGAGATGGGGTATCACCATGTTGGCCCAACTGGTCTTGAACCCCTGACCTCGTGATCCACCAGCCTCGGCCTCCCAAAGTGCTTTTTTTCTTAAATATTGTAGTGGTTCCTTGCTTACAGTTATATGCTCTCTCTTTAAAAATAACTTTTAAGGCAGGCATCGTGGCTCACTGTAATCCCAGTACTTTGGGAGGCCAAGGCAGGAGGATCACTTGAGCCCAGGAGTTAGAGACTGGCCTGGGCAACATAGTGAGAACCCCATCTCTCCAAAAAATAAAAAAATTATCTGAGCATGGTGGTACACCCCTGTGGTCCTAGCTACTCAGGAGGTTAAGGTGGATCACTTGAGCCCAGGAGATTGAGGCTGCGGTGAGCTATGATTGTACCACTGCACTCCAGCCTGAGCAACAGAATGAGACCCTGTCTCAAAGTGATAATAATAGTAATTGTTATATAGTACAATGAAAAAGCTTTCGGATGATTACACTCTCAGATGTCTGACGAGGTGGCCTCTAGGAGAAAAAGTTACCATCTAAATAAATCTCCGCCTATCGCTGTGAAGCAGGTTACACACTCCCAAAAGAGAAACACAGCAATGCAAATCAGCACCCGTAATTCAGAATGTTTGTTCTTGTGCCTTTGGATTTAAGGCTCCTGTTTGAAACTTGTTTATTGTCTCTGACCATGGGTCTTAATGTGTGTAGCATGTTTCTCTGAATTAGCAGTTACCTGGTCTATTCTGTGTTCCAATCTTAGACATTCTGGCACATTCTGCCCATCTCTCTGAGGAACTCCTCTATAGGAAATACATGGATGATGGATATCATGTAGTCTGTGTTTTAAGTCAGGCGACATCAAAATACTTAATGTATGTTTTAATACCAGCTGTCTTCACAGCATACGGTACCAGACAGGTAGAAACTTAATTTTACTTCAAGAGATTTGAATTATTTTAGTCCACAATCTATTAAAATAATACCACATTCGAGTCAGATTCTAATTGCAGTAGTGTTAGAAGCATCTGTGGGGAATACCAAACTATTTATATTGATAAACTATCTGATATTAATAAAAGAATGATTTGAGTGACTGCTTTTCCTTTTTTTTTTTTTTTTTTGAGACGAAGTCTCACTCTGTCACACAGGCTAGCATGCAGTGTACAGTCTTGGCTCACTGCTACCTCCACCTCCTGGGTTGGAACGATTCTCCTGTCTCAGCCTCCCGAGTAGCTGGGAGTACATGTGTGCACCACTATGCCTGGCTAATTTTTGTATTTTTAGTTGGCCAGGCTGGTCTTAAACTCCTTACTCAAGTGATCCACTTGCCTCAGCCTCCCAAAGTGCTGAGATTATAGGCGTGAGCTTTTATTGTTTATTTGTAGAGATGGGGTCTCCCTGTGTTGTGAAGGCTAGTCTTAAACTCCTGGGCTCAAGTGATCCTCCCACCTCTGCCTCCCAAAGTACTGGGATTATAGGCATGAGTCACCACACCTGTCCTGCATTTAAGAATATTTTTATAGCAAATAAGAGACATGTTTGATAGCTCTTACAAGAGATATAAGTAATTTGCTTGTTTTATTTATCTATTTGCTATGTACATAAGGACTTAAAGTTGTTTATTTTAATGTCCTTTAATAGGCTGACAAGACGGTTTAGCTTTCATATTGTTAGAATGTCCCAGAATAATTATTTTATTTATTTATTTTTGTTGAGACAAAGTCTTGCTACTGGAGTGCAGTGGCACAATCTTGGCTCACTGCAGCCTCCGCCTCCCGGGTTCAAGCAAGTCTCTTGCCTCAGTCTCCCAAGTAGTTGGGATTACAGGCATATGCCACCATGCCCGGCTAATTTTTGTATTTTTAATAGAGACAGGGTTTTACCATGTTGGCCAGGCTAGTCTCGAACTCCTGACCTCAGGTAATCCGCCCATCTCGGCCTCCCAAAGTGCTGGGATTACAGGCATGAGCCACTGTGCCCAGCTTCCAGAATAATAATTTTAAAATACTAAATGAAGGACAAAATACTTTGTGCTACAAAGGCTGTGGATTTGGGTATAGATCTGTTACTTTTTCACCTAAAATCAAATATGTTTTCATAAGTCAAAAGAAGAACTTTAAAAAAATAATGATTTTAAACTCTTTAATACTGAGATGGCTAGTTGTGGATGAGAGATAATTTTATTACATTTCAACCCAGAAATTTCTAATAAATTTATAATATTGACACAGATGCATAAAATCTTATTTGGTAGACATTTTAAGAATGTTAATATATTGTAAGGGGAGTTAAAATAGAATTGTCAGTCTGTGTGGAATGTTTTCTTGGTAAAAGTCAAACTCTTTGTTTTTTATTTCATAGACAATTGTGGCTATTAATAAAGACCCAGAGGCTCCAATTTTCCAGGTGGCAGATTATGGAATAGTGGCAGATTTATTTAAGGTAAGCTGGCCTGGAGAGAAATTGCTATTTTCTAGATTGTCATCTGAGAAACTCTTAGAATTGGTCAGGGACGAAGCTATTAAAGAAAACATTGTGTGTTTGTGTGTCTCTGTTTGTATATGTACTGTTAATATATGTACACAATTTTTACCTACTTAAAATTCTTCTAATAGTAGATATATGTTGTTTATATACAGCATTATAACTTTCCCTTTAAGAAAGAGTCCAAATTGTCTTTAAAATATCCACATGGATTTTGGCATCCCAGTGCTAAGTTAACGCACAATGTAAAGTGATTCAAATAATTATAAGCTAGAATCATATTTGGCAGGTATCCTAAAGAAATTAACATCAAACCCCCTTATTCAGAGATTTGCCAGTTATGTTAGGGGAGAGGAGGCACTCATATCCAGCTGATCTGACTCAATAAGAAGGCTCTGCTTGCTGTGTTTGAGGGTTAAGGGGCTTCCTTAGCTGACGAGTGTAGGGAGAGCACTTATTTCCCACTCCTCACATTCTTCACCTTTGGGCGTTCCTTCTATCTTGCTGTCACCTCCATATTTGTCCTTCCCATGAGAAAAATTATTTTCATGATATTAATTAGTTAATTACAGCTGATGAGCACCTGGTATTCATTTGGCCACATTTAAAGCTCATAACTTATGCATGGCCTGATCTCTTCTTTTTCCCTGGGTCTACCTACATGTTTCTAGGTTATCTTATGTAGAAATCACTCATGCAGGAATTGGTACTCTGAAAATAGCATCCAGTCCTAGGAGAAGTGGGTTTGCTGGGGTGAGGAACCCCTCATGTAGAACGACAGTGAGGAGGTGTGGGCTTCAGTGGAAAGGTTGCAACCTGAGAACAGAGCTTCAGGAGGTCTCCTCAGCAAGAAGATTAGCCCATTTCCATGACTTCACCAGCACTGTGTATGATCTAGAGGAACTAGTGAGTGTGCTTGGAGAGCACATTTGTACTTTGCAGCATATGTTCATGCTCAGTGAAGGATAGAAACAGGACCCTTGAGCCGATTACTCCATGGTAACTCAGACTGCATGCAGAGACTAGGATGGGGCTCTTGTTCTGGCCCATTGTCAATCCTTCTTCCCCTCAGAAGGCCCCTGCCAGAGAGCCTAGATCTCATTTTGGGAAAAACATTCCCCCTCTTCAGTGACCCCGAAGCTCTGTATCTTGATATTTGGGGTTCAGGTAAGGTCAACTGCTCATGTTGCCTGGCCCAAGTGTGTAAGAACAAATAGTAATGTCAGTTATTTCCCACTAAGATATTCCAGTGGGAAGGGGAGCTGGAATGAAAAGGATTTTTTGTTTGTTTGTTTCTCTATATAGTGATAACTTTGTTCAAGTGGTAAAAATTTCGTTCTTACTATTGGTGTGAATAGAGGGATAAATATTCTTTTTATTTAAAAGCAAAATTAAAAAACTTTCTGAACCTCATCCATGTTTGCAAGTAGATGTCTACTGTAGTTGCCTTTTTTCTTCCAGAGAATATTTTAGTAAATTTGTAATTTTGTTGGTTATATTTTTCTGTCTGCCAAGAGAATATTTTAGTAAACTTATAAGTAATTTTGTTTGTTATATTTTTCTGTCTGTAGTATGTATTGCAACTCACATGGGGGTTTTCATGATAAAAAGATAAAGTGGTGGCCGGGTGCAGTGGCTCACACCTGTAATCCCAGCACTTTGGGAGGCTGAGGCGGGCAGATCTTGAGGTCGAGAGATAGAGACCATCCTGGCCAACACAGTGAAACCACATCTCTACTAAAATACAAAAATTAGCTGGGCATGGTAGCACATGCCTGTAGTCCCAGCCACTCAGGAGGCTGACAGGAGAATTGCTTGAACTCAGGAGGCGGAGGTTGCAGTGAGCCAGATCATGCCACTGCACTCCAGCTTGGCGTCTGGTGACAGAGCGAGACTCTGTCTCAAAAAATAAAATAAATAAGTAAAAAGATAAAGCGTTAAGCAGTTGAAAATTTTCAGTGTTTTACCATTGGACACCTGCCTTGGAGCAGGACCTTCTTTGTAGTCATTATTGATGGAATGGGATCCCACACACTGTGCTCTTGCATTTACGGCAGCTCCCAGGTTTGGCATGAGAATATGCATGTGTTTGGACGTGAAGCGATATCTCAGTGAGAAAGAGTCCTAAGACGGTGAAGTAGAATGAGGCCTCAAAAATCATCTAGTTAGCTGACGTCCAGTTTCAGGTTCTCAGGCTCCTTTTGGTATTTTAGGAAGCCCACTTTGGACTAGAGAGAAACTTCAGACCAAAATACCATGTTTATTTGCTTTTAGCTAGAATTATATTAAGGCAATGACTATCTCATACAGCTTAGAAGTTCTGAAGTACATGGTCAGGCAGGGTGGCTCACGCCTGTAATCCCAGCACTTTGGGAGGCTGAGGTGGGCAGATAACCTGACCCTGCAGAGTCACCTGGTAACTCTGAGTTTAACATTTTGAAGAACTGTCAGGTTATTTTCAAAGTGGCTTCCCCTTTTTACATTCCCACCAAAAATGTGTGAGGGCTCTGGTTTTTCTGTATACTCACTAATTATGTTATTGTCTTTTTAAATATAGCCCTTCTAATGAGTGTGAGGTGGTATCTCATTGTGGTTTTGATTTGCATTTCCCTCATGGCAAATAACGTTTAGTATCTTTTCATCTGTTCATTGGCCATTTGTATATTTCTTCGGAGACAGTCTATTCAGATCCTTTGTAATTTTTAAATTATATTATCTTTTTGTTCTTGAATTGTTAAAGTTCTTTATATATTCTGAATATAAGTCCCTGATCTGATATTTGATTTGCAAATATTTTCTCTCCTTGCATGGGTTGTCTTTTCACTTTCTTTAATGGTGTCCTTTAAAGCATGAAAGTTTTAAATTTGTCAATGCCTATGAAAAAGGGGAGGAAAAGTTTTAAAATAAAGAAAGTTTTAAATTTTGATGAACTCCAACTTACCAACTTTTTCTTTGTCGCTTATGCTTTAAGTCTCATGTCTAAAACATTGCCAGCCAGGTGTGGTGGCTCACACCTATAATCCCAGCACTGGGAAGCCAAGGTGGACGGATCACTTGATGTCACGAGTTTGAGACCAGCCTGGCCAACATGGTGAAACCCCATCTACCAAAAAATACAAAAATTAGCTAGGTGTGGTGGCATGTGCCTGTAACAGCCCCAGCTACTTGGGAGGCTGAGGTAGGAGAATCACTTGAACCTGGGAGGAAGTGGAAGTTGCAGTGAGCCAAGATCACGCCACTGCACTCCAGCCTGGGCAAAAGAATGAGAGCCCATCTCAAAACAAAACAAAACAAAAACCCATTGTCTAATCCATAGTATGGTGAACACTGGTCTGCAAGTATCTGCTCAAGCCCCTGATTTCAGTTCTTTTGGATATATACCTAGGAGTACAATTGCTGGGTCATGTGACAATTCTGTGTTTAGCTTTTTGAAGAACCTTCAAACTGCTTTCCATAGAAGTTGCATGACTTTATATACCCACCAGCAGTGCACAAGGGTTCCAGTTTTTCCACAGTCTCAGTAAGACTCATTATTTTCTGTTTTTTAATTCTAGTCATTCCAGTAGGTGTGAAGTGGTATCTCGTTGTGACTTTGATTTGCATTTTCCTAATATCTAGTGATGTTAGGCATCTAAGCATATGAAAAGGTGTTCATTGGTCATTTGTATATCTCCTTTAGAGAAGCGTCTGTCCACCTCTTTTACCCATTTTCAGTTGGGCTGTTTTTTTGTTGACTTGTGTGAATTCTTTACATATTCTGGATACTAAATATTTATCAGAGATATGATTTCCAGATGTTTTCTCTCATTGTGTAGGTTAGCTTTTCACCTTCTTGAGAATATCCTTTGATGCGCAAGAGTTTTAAATTTTGATGAAGTCCAATTTATCTTTTTTTATTTTGTCGCTTGTGTACCATATCTAAGAATCCATTGCCAAATCTTAGGTCATGAAGAGTCACCCCTGTTTTCTTATAAGAGTTTTGTCATTTTAATTAATATATTTAGGTTGTTGATCCATTCGAAGTTAATTTTTGTATATGATGTGAGGTAGGGGTCCATTTTCATTCTTTGCATGTGAATATCCAGTTGTCCCAGCACCATCTATCTGTTCAGAGAGACTATTCTGTTCCCATTGAATGGACTCAACAAACACCTATCTTTTTAAGCCTTGTTTCTTTCCTTTTCTCCATACCTATTAGCATTCTCTTTACTGTCTCTGGAACCTACAGTTACTTATCTCTGTCTGGTGCCTTATTTTTTGCCTAGAATCCTTTCCTTCTTTAGGTTGATGTTCTGAATTTTCCTAATCCACACTGAATCTTGCTTAATCTTCCTTAACTCCTGAATTTGGAGCATTTAATGCTATTTTTTTTTCCTTCTCCTACATTCCAGTATAAGATGAGCACACTTCTGATTGGGTGTTTCATAGGCCTCTGTCTATTCTTGCCAGCTAGGAGGCAGAACTCCTCTGTCACTTCCATAGTGACAGAGCGCTTCTGTGTTTCCCTTAGTATTATTTTGAGGAAGTACTAAGTGAATGAGTGAAACATACTTGTATTGTGATTTATATCAGTAGGTTGTCTCTTTTTTTTTTTTTAAACATAAGTGCCTTTTATTGGGTCTTACCAAGTAGGGAGCTGTCTCTGCAATACCTAAAAGAGAATAGAAACAAGAATCCAGATCTTCAGTGTGCTCAGGGCATCAGACACTCAATGAACCCGAGTTAGCATTTTCTTTTTCCTAAATAAGGCATTCTGTGGTATGCTTTAAAAGTGTGCAGTTGGGCTGGGCACAGTGGCTCACGCCCGTAATCTCAACACTTTGGGAGGCCAATGCAGGTGGATCACCTGAGGTCAGGAGGTTGTGACCAGCCTGGCCAACATGGTGAAACTCCTTATCTACTAAAAATACAAAAAAAAAAAAAAAGCCAGGTGTGGTGGCAGGTGCCTGTAATCCCAGCTACTCAGGAGGCCAAGGCAGGAGAATTGCTTGAACCTGGGAGGCAGAGGTTGCAGTGAGCTGATACTATGCCATTGCACTCCAGCCTGGGTGACAGAGTGAGACTCTGTCTCAAAAAAAAGAAAAAAAAAAAGTGTGTGGTTGATCTAATAAAAAAGATATAGATGATAGAGAAAACCTTCTCAACCCTTTTGTGGGGAGTGTGGTAAGGAAGTATTTAGTAAGGTTTTAAAAAGTTGTATGTTCTAAACCAAAGTAGTGTTTCACTTCATGGTAAAAGAAGTTGGGCTTTATCCTATTTTTCATGAAATACATGGGTCCCATCTGAAGCTCAGTTAGCATGTCATCCATGTGACTGGCATGAGCTTATGGTCTCTCTACTGAGGAAAGCTGGGAGAAGTGGTGCCAGCACTTAATGCCACCCCTGAGCAAATGCCTGCTGGCTCCATGGTAAACATGGGCCTTTTAACAGGCTGGAGACAAAGTGACATTCAGAAGAAACAACATGTCGACAATTTCCTTAATAAATTTTGTACGAACACATTATTTCCACCTAATGGAAATGTAGCGCTCTTAAATAATTGAGAGGCTATATTCATCAGTGGCGAGTTCAGCTGGGATCTTTGTGAGCTAAGGCAGCCGAAAGCCCCTTGGAAGACTGGGTAATTGATATTTTGCACAAGTGGCTGAGCCATTTTTCAGAGTGTCTGTGCGGCATTCCCTGCAGCCCCCATAGGCAGCTCTCCTCTGTCCAAGCAGTCACAAAGCAGCTCTACACTGGGGGCTCCAGTTGCAGCTGCTGCATTGCCAAGACTAAGGGTTAGTAATGAATCCTTTTTAAAATGGCAGCCAACTCAGGCCATTTCCCCTTGCTGTGGTCTCTTACTGTGTCTGCTGACCAGCCACTTCATTAGCACACAAGGTCTTAATTTTAATAAAGAGTGATGATACTGAATGTTCAGCATGTAACACATTTCTGTGTGCCAGATCATAGTAGTATGCTGAAAAGCAACCAGTGTGTTTGTGAAAATGAATGATGAATGAATGAATGAAAGAACACAGTGAGAGAACAAGTACTAGAGGAGGTTGGCAGGAGTCGTAATTACAGTAAGCTAGAGACTTTGGTGTGGACTTTGAAGGAAAGTCAGGAATGCAGTAAGGATAGGAAGAATGCCAAGGAAAACACGAAGGTAAATACACAGTACTCGTCATCCAGACAAGAAAAATTGGGCTTCCTGTTTCTAGGGTGCCTTCTTGAAATTTGTGATTGGGTCAAAAAGACAAAAGGTAGCCAGGTGCAGTGGTTCATGCCTGTAATCTCAACACTTTGGGAGGCTGAGGCAGGCAGATCACTTGAGCCCAGGAGTTTGAGACTAGCCTGGGCAACATGTTGAAACCCCATCTCTACAAAAATTAGCCAGGTGTGGTGGCTACTCAGGAGGCTGAGGTGGGAGGATTCCCAGAAGGTGGATGCTGCAGTGAGCCGTGATTGCAGCACTGCACTGCAGCCTGGGTGACAGAGTGAAACCCTGTCTCAATCCAAAAAAAAAAAAAAAGGCAGAAGGCATGTAGGCAATGAGTGGGCTGTAGGCCCCGCCAGCCCTGGGTCCACAGTAGTCTCCCTGGGTGGGAAGAGAAACTACAGGGGAACAGGGGGTTCCTGGTGGAGAGGAGGGGCCCGTGTGTCTGAACAGTGATTTACGTTGTTTCTTTTGGCCTCCCTGTGTAGCTTACGGAGCTGTGATTGTATTACAGTGAAGGCTTTAGTTGCTTACTTTTTTTTTTTTTTTTTTTAATTTGCAGGTAGTTCCTGAAATGACTGAGATATTGAAGAAAAAATGAATCATGATCATGCCTTAAAAAGAAAAATTAAAGTATTCCACTGAAATGATAGACATTTGTGGATACTATCATTGGAAAGCATGAAGAGCTGCATTTCATAATTTGAGGAAAAATTTCTAACAGATGCCAGAATGCTTTTTTATGGGATTATGATGTTTCCTTTTAATTATTTTTGGTTTCAAATAATTTTTTGAAATTTTAAAATTCTGTAATAAAATCTATAATAAAGCTTTTCCACAGCTTTAAAACTATCAGAAATATGCCTAGTCTCTTAAAGAGAGAAAATTGAAGAAAAGGAGTAAAAATTTGTTTATTTTTGTTTTTTAATTGTTGCTTTTTTTGCCTTTCTGGTTCGCGGAGAGCTCTGTTTTAGGAAGATTGTAAACATGATTGTTCCTACCAGCCTAATCAACCTAATCTCATTGTTGAAGGGCATATCTCATAGGAGAAGGTAACTGAATTGGCAAATGCAGAGTTAAAAAAAGCATGGCTGTAAAGCATGAATATTACCTTAAACATACTCCAGTCTTCAGAAAACCACAGTTAATGTGACAAAAGCAGACCTGACTTAAACCTGACCTGGCTCCATGTATTTTAGTTGACTTAAGGTAAATTTCATTTTCCATTTCATTTTAAGGTTTTGTCAGTTTATGGGACTTTTGTCTATAAAGGAGGGAGAGTACAGGAGGGGCTGCTTTGAGACAGCATGGCCTTCTGATGCAAATGGATAGTTTGATGTTAGGATAAATGTTCAAAATCCTGCACAGAGACTGCTCTGGCCTTTCTTTTGCCTTCTGTTGGCTTCTTTTGGGCTCTCTTAGGAAGCACCCAGGCCTGTGTAGTCACCTCTGGCACTCTGATTCTGCTGCCCAAGGTACAGCTGAGGTCCAAGAGTGTCACCAAGGCTGCAGCTGGTGTGAGTGCAGGCCCAAGAGCAGTGGCTGGTGAGGCTTTGAACAGGCCTGCCAGAAGGGTTGGGTAGGTAGGCGAGTAGAATGACGAGGGCTGCCCTCCTGAATCAGATCTGCAGAAATGAGAGTAGTGACCTTGATCAAGCAGATAGCAGGGAGGAGATGGGAAGTGATCGGTGATAAATGATGGAGGGGGCTAGAATACCTTTGTGTGGCCAGCCTGGGGCCCTTCCCGGGCTGAGTAGTGAACCCTTTCTGATTTGTGTCACAATCACTTGCTATGAAACATTTTTAAAAGTTGTATCTTTGGCATTTCAGTCTTCTTTTAATGAGATGAGAGCAGTAAAATGATGCCTCTTTACAAGTAATGTCTGTTAGAATCGAAGAATCGTAGAATGTCTGAGCCCCGTGATCACCTGGTCAGACCCCTTGTTGTACAGATGGGGAGACTGAAGCACAGAGAAGTGAAGAAGGTAAAGTGACTTGGCCCAGGCCACATGGCTGGAATCACCTTTGTGAGAATAATTCCTGTGTCTTGTTCTTATCTTTGAGGGTCTTCCTAAGAGGGCTAACCTTGCTCAGGATTTTCTCCATTTACCCCTCATTCCTATTGGATGCTATAACCTGTGTGTGGGGGGGGGGCGGGTGGGCAGGAGAGATGGCAAAGGTGATGGCCGCAGGGGCACCCCCAGTAGGTGTGCTGACTCAGGGAGGGGCATCCCAGGTGGTGCCTTGGCCTGGTTCCTTGACTCAGAGTTGAACTGGTTGGTCTTTTTTCCTTTTGCTCCGTACTGTCCTGGCTGCCCTGCCACAGCCCCAAGCAGCTGTTCACTGGGCTAGTATTTACTGGGAACAGCTCATCATCATAACATTAAGTATAATGCTTGCTATATACCAGGCACTGTTCCCAGCACTTTACACATGTTAAACCCCTTCAGTTCTTACAGCACCCTGTAAGTTAGTTGCTATTATTATCCCTCTTTTACAGATGGGGAAGCTGAGGCTCAAAGAGGTAATATAACTTGCCTTAATTCAGACAGCTTATAAATGAGAGCCAGGATTTGGAAACAGGCAGACTGGCTTCAGAGTGGTAACTTCACTGAGGACGTGATTCTCCTTCACCTCAGCTCAAGGGACAGTGTGACTGCACAGCAGCCTCAGGTAAAGAGCACTAGGTACTTCGTGCTGGGTGGGATCCTGGTTGAGAAGGAGGGATGGGTGTTCTGGAATAGTCCCTCCAGTGGGATTTTTTTCAACACAAAAGTTTCTCTGAGTGCCCACTTAGAGCTTACCCTAAAATGGCAGCCATGTGAGGTGGAGGCAAGTCATTGAAACTATTATATATGCAAGAGGCACATTTTTGTGCCCTTTTAATCTCTTTTATTGGAAACCGAACAGTTCCTGTTGACTCTGCCCGTGTCCAGCCGTAGCACCCAGAGCAGTAGCTCTGGAAGCAGTATGGGGGAAAGATGTTAGGGGTAGCTTTCTTTAATGCTTGCGTATGGGTTTCCTGCCTTTCTCCCTAGTTTCTTTGAGGTCTTTGATTAACCTCACACAGCTCTGGGAATTTGGTGGTCTGGTTATTTTGGCAGAATATAGAGTCCTTGGAAGGGCAGAAATAGGCATGTTAGAAGGGCAGCCCTCTGAGGGCAGAGATGAGCAGGTCCTTGAGCTGAAGCTGACAGCCTTTTCACTTGCAGAAGGCCTGAGGCCCAGTAAGGGCCCTGTACCCAGCTGCTTAGTAGTTGAGAGGGGACAGCATCAGCTTTCCCCCAGGTCCCACTCGCTCTTAGCAATGCTGTGAGGAAATGTTCCCTGATGGGTTCTCTGGCTCAACCCCCTGTGCTGTGGGACTCTGAAGCAAATACCTAGAAGAGTATAGCCCAGCCACTTCCCCGAAGGAGCTGGTGGTCTTGACAGGGAGGACAATATCCTTCCAGACTCTGAGAGTACAGGCTGTTGGGGCCACAGCCCCTACCCTCAAGGATTTTGCAGCTACCAGGAAAGATTAGATGAGACGTCAGTAAAAGCAGACAGCAGGTCTCAGCATGGACAGCAGATACAGAGAGGGCTCCTCAGGAGGCTGGCACGGCCATTCCTCAGTGGGTGAGGGCTGTTCAACTGGCGTATGGGAGCAGAAGTGGAAACTGATATCGGAGCTCACGTGGGTGCATGAGGCAGTGAGGGGCAGAAACACTGGGGTCAGGGAGGAGGTTGAGGGTGGTAGGTAGTTGAGGCCAGATTGGAGAGGACATTGACTCACAGGCTGAGGAGGCTTCTTCCTTAGAGATCAGTGGTTCTCAAACTTTGCCCCCAAGGAACACTGCCATTTTCATTGGACCAGCGATGGTACTGTGATAGTTCCACCATACAGGTCTTTTCCTGATTTGCAGGAAAAATTAATCAGCAGTTTCCCAGTCTTGAGTCTTTCTTGCATACTTCTTTCTGAACCTTTGGTAGCTGCTGCCCCTTGTGTTCTTGGGAATGTGAGCAGATTCCAAGGTAAATGAACAGTAGCAAGTGGATCCGAACAAAGAGCAGCAGCTTTTGTTTTTGTCTTGGGACATATCATGGATTTCATTGAATATTTAAAATACTTTCTGCTTGTTTGTTAGATATATCAGTATATTAAGAGTGTCCCATAAAAACTGTATGACTTCGTTTGCCATCTGAACAAGCCTTAAGCACCCCCGGCAACAGGGAGCCATTTTAGAGGAAGGCCTATAACTTGGTGGTGTATGCAGGATAGAGGGAGAGAGGAGAAGATGGAAGCCATTAGGGGCTGTTGCAGGAATACTCTGGCTCCAGGTGGATTTGGCTGGGGATGGGCTCCTGGAGATTGTGAAAATGGGTCCAGTGTTGTGGGTGAGGCTGGCAGAAGGCAGGGCTCTTCTTCCCAGGATAGCAGTGGGAGCCCTGCTGCCACCAGAGCCTGAGTGTGTCTGCTGGGCTGCAGGGCTGGAAACCCCAGCTGTAGGTGCACTTTCTGCTCTCTTTCTGAAAGGGTGGGTCAGCTTCACTGCATTTCATGCTGTCTCTCACTAAGGGTTTTTGTTTGAGTTTACATAAAAATGGGCTGAAGAGGCTGGGAAACCCAGAGAACACCATTGATAGTAGCAGATGGATTTGGTTAGCTGCTGCTGAGCGATAGGAGGCTTGACCGGTAACCTTGTGAAAAGTCCGTCAGTGTGGTATACTGCCACGATTTCTTATAGCTCTGGGGTTTAAGGAAAATCTTTGTGGGGAGCAAATGAAGAAAAGTTGCTGATAATCCTTGGCTTATAAAGCGCTTTCATGTATGTCACCCCATCAGTGGGGGAAAGAGTAGGAAACATTCAAGAAATCAGACTCTCAGGACAGGAGGCAGTTTGCCCCAGGTCACAACACATGTGATAGAACTGGCACACAAACCAGAATTTGGGGCAAATGGCAGTCAGTGAGATGTGAGACCTGAACTGGACGCTGGGTCTGGAAAACTTGGCCTGTCCACTAGATTGTGGTTCTCCCATCCTCTCCAGGACTGTATTCTCTGGTTTGCGTTGCCTCAAAACAGCAGGCTTGTTGTTAGAAGCAAGGAACACCAATGGAATTAGGGATTTTCTGTGACGTAAGCTGGCATTTACCTCCTGTGGTGTCGGAATTGGTGAGAGGGAGGCCCTGGGGTGGCATTACCTGTGTGGCCTTTGCCTTCTTTGTCTCCTATAATTAACTGGGCCTGTGGTTAAAGACAGGTGAGTGCTTTTTTTGTGTGCTCACCTCCAGCTGTTTCCTTCCCAGTGTGGGCTGCATAGGGGACAGTTGGGTCTGGGACCCGGGGACAACTGGGTGGACTGGTCACCAGGAGCCTTGGTTCTCAGCCTGTTCCTATTACTGCCCCAGAGGCACCCTAGTCACCTTCCCTCTCCTTTCAGGTTTCATTTTCATCATCTGTAAAATGGCAGTGTGAACTAGATAACTTTTTAGATAACAAGCTTTAACCTATGAGTGTTTTGGTGGGTGTCATACGAGGTGAGTAGATGGAGAGTGCTGTTTTTGAGGGCTTCTTGTGCCCACGATGCTGTGCTGAGCCCTTTACATATGTTATTTCATTTACGTCTTAAAACCTTGCAAGGTGTAGTAGTACTCCCAACTCTACAGATGAGTAAACTAAAGCCCACAGAGCTTAAAACACTTGCCTGAGGACTCCTGGCTATAAATGGTGACCACAGGCCAGTCGGCTCCCAACCACATGCCATATCCTGACTCCCTCTATGGGAGTGCAGAGGATGGACCTAATCTAGCCTGACTGAGGTGGGCTGCAGTGGAGGGCAGCGAGATAGGACAGCCTCACCAAGTTCAGA